CCCAGCTCTGCACCTTGTTGTCTCGGATTCTCCAGCATCTGCAGTTCCTACTATCTCCCAATCAGGAAAGCTTTGGCTGACCAATATAATCAGGAGATTAGAATCTCCTCAGTTGAGGACTGACTCTGAGCTGGCTGACCACAACCAGTGTACTGTGCACTAGTAGATAAGGGATGACTTGGTGATGGGACACTGGCCTCTGTCAGTTATTCCAGTGGTGATGGGAGAAAACAGGACGTGTCTGAAGAACATTCAATTGCAACTGTCATCTTGGAGTTGGGGAAAGCATTTCTGGCATCATGTCTCTACTTGGAAAGCTTGACCTTGCTGTCGAAGACTGGGCCCATTATGTGGAAAGAATGTGATATTTTTTCCAGCAAATAAAATTGGGGCAGATCAAAAGCAACGAATAAACCTTCTGACTGCATGTGGTCCTGCAGCATTTTTGGTTATAAGGGGCTTAACTTTTCCAGAGGCACTAGATACTAAAACCTTCCAAGAGTTGACAGAGTTGGTTAAGGAACATTACGACCCCAAAGCATCTCAGGATTTGAGAAGGTTATCGGTTTTATTCAGCTGTTTGAGAACGAGGAGAATCCACATTGGGTTTTTTGACGAGTTTATGACGACTGGCAGAAGCATGAGATTTTGGGTTAACCCTGAATGAGATGCTGAGACACTATTTGGTGTCTGGGATTAATGATGTAACCATGCAGAAGCACCTACTAGCTGAAGTCCAACTGGATTTCAAAACAGGCACTGCAGCTGGCCTTGTCATTAGAAAATACAGCAAGTGGAGCATGGGAACTACAGGGCATCCCAATGGAAGCAGACATCCTCACCTGTCCAACTGAGTGTGGGGAACACCACTTGAGTATAGGCAAGCGCAAAGCCTCATGCAGGGTATATCCTGAGCAGACAGACCGGAGACCAAACCACCGCAAAACCTCAAAGCTGAGCCTCATCCTCCAGAAGCCAAGTGGCTAAAGAAAGATGCCTTGACCCACCTCCCACTGGCATATACTCCATCGGTGGTGCCTCCCGAGAAGAGTCTGTTTTGCTTTTAAACTCTCTGGACATCCTTCCAGGCACCACAGACAATATCTGACTATGGGCCCAAGAAAGATCCTGTCCTACTGAAACTGAAACAGCTGGTGGTAATGGGGGCAACAGAAGGGCCGTTGCAACCCGGATTGAAACCTTTTTGGATCTGGTGAGACCGGATCACTATAGGACAGCATTTTACCGTGGGCAGCAAGAGTAATTGTCCCGAATAAAGGTTACGCCAGATATTGGCCGAACTCCACCAGGATCATCCTGGGGTTTCCAAGATGAAGATGCTGGCAAGAAGCTGTCTGTTGGCCAGGGTTGGATGCAGATATAGTTTAATTGGTGGGGCAGTGCCCAGAGTGCCAACAAGGAATTGCCACTAGCAGCACCCCTATATTCGTGGGAACAGCAGGGTAAACCCTGGACTCAGTTGCATGTCGACTATGCCGGTCCTTTCATGGGTTCAATGTTCCTGGTCATTGCAGACGCCCAATCAAGGTGGTTGGACCTGTATAAAGTTTTTTCAGCAAACTCAGGAATGATCGAGAAGCTGCGAACATCGTTTGTGATGCACAGACTCCTGGAAGTATTGGTCACAGACAATGGGACATCATTTACCAGAAGAGAATTTGAATATTTCCTAAAGTCCAACAACATTTGGCACTTAAGCACAGCACCGTGCCATCCATGGTCCAATGGTCTAGCGGAAAGAATGGTCTAAACATTGAAGGCAGGCTTAGAGAAGCAGCCTACATTGTCAATTGAGACCAAACTGTCCCGGTTTCTATTCGATTATAGGACCACCCCACACACAACAACAGGGATAGCTCCAGCAGAGTTGCTGATGGGGAGAAGACTCTACACCAGGTTAAACCTGATATTTCCAGACCTGGGGAAGGGGGGGGGGCGTGGGGGTGGAGAAACAAGTGTGGAACAGCAGCAGGAATGCCAATGCTGGCCAAATTCCTCCTCTAAAGCGAGAGAGACAATTTAATTGGGGGGAGGGGGGAACGTGACGAAGTTTGGTGCCCATACTATGGAAATGGCCTTGTATGGGTACAAAGGTGAGGTTGATGCATGGTCAGATCCCGTGACTTTTCAAGTTCGGGTGAGTGATACAGTCCAGAACAGACATGTGAATCACCTGAAAGCCGTTATCTCAAACTGGACAGGACCAAACATAATTGGCCCCTCAGAACAGCCAGTGGGCCCAGCAGAAACCACAGGTGATCCGCCTCTGTCTGGTGTCAAAGAAACCGGAGTCCAAAATTGATGCAGCCTCAATACTGTTGCCACCGGAAAAAGAGAAGGAAACATTTCAAAGGTGTTCCAGATGTAAAAGGCGAGCCGTAGTCCAGTCCATGTTGCCTGTGTCCAAGTCTGAGTCAGAGTTGGAGGAACCAAGCCTAGAGCGGAAGCATCACAAGAGAAGCTACAAGCGAGAGACCAGGCCTACATCCCTGGACTTTGGGGTGTAGTCGGTGGAATGGATGTAGTGATTAGAACCAGGTGGACCTTGTTAACTACGAGGGTCTTGATTGGGGTTGTTAACTGGAAACCAGGAAAGTCTTGGCTGACCAATATAACCAGGGAGGTTAGAACCCCCTCAGTTGAGGACTGACACCAAGCAGACTGGCCACAGCCAATGTACTGTGCACTAGTAAATAAAGGATAACTTGGTGATGGGACATTGGCCTCTGTGCAAGTATTTCAACTGCCAAAGCTTGAAGATAACAAATCTTGGTGGGAGATGAACTGAGTATGCAGTGACAAGGTGAGTGATTGGACAAATGTAAGGCAGATGAAGTCCGATGGGGATAAGTGTAAGGTAATCCACCTTGGTGGCAAAAACAGGAAGGCAGATTATCATCTGAATAGTGATGGATTCAGAAAGAGGGAGGGGCAATGTACACCAGTCGCTCAAAGTGAGCATGCGGGTGCATCAGGTGGTGGAGGCAGCAATATGCTGGCCTTCATAGCAAGAGGATGCGAGTAAAAGAGCAGGGATACCTTACTGCAATTGTACAGGGCTTTTGTGAGACCACACCTGGAGTATTGAGTGCAGTTTTGATCTCATCTGAGCAAGAATATACTAGTTATGGAGGAAGTGCAACAATAGTTTACCAGACTGATTCTGGGATGGCAGGGTGAACATTTAAAGAAAGAGTGAATTTGTTAAGACCATTTTCACTTGAGTTTAGAAGAATGAGAGGTAAATCTCAGGAAAAATATAAAGTTCTAACAGGACTAGACAAGGTTAATGCAGGAAGAATTTTCCTGATGACTGGGTCACATTCAGAACCATGGGTCACATTCTAAGCAGTAGTCCATTTAGGACCGATAGCAGAAATTTCTTCAACCCAGAGAGTGGTGAAACTGCAGAGTTCTCTGCCACAGAAAGTGGCGGAGATGAAAATATTGAATGTTTTCTACGAGTTAGATTTAGCTCTTAGAGCTAAAGATATCATAGGGTACAGGGAGAAAGTGAGAACAGGGTACTGAGTTGGATGATCAACCATCATATTGAATGGTTTCATGGCCTAATTTGGCTGCTATTTTCTATGGTGTTATCAAACATACTTTGATTTAACAATAAAAAGAAACTATTTAATAAGTGACAGTTCAAAGTTAGGATGGGTAATATTGATTATTCTTTGCACAAAGTATTGGCATATGGAATTCTCTTAAAGAAACTTTCCCTAACCTTCCTTGAGTGTAAATTAATGAATTGTCACCAACCACCCACCTGCACCCCCACAAAATGCACTTTCTTCATCCTTCAAACATCTTTATGATTTTAAAAATTCTAAAAACTCATTTAGACTCAATTGCAATAGGAAGAGTATGAATATTTCCAAGAATGTTCACAATCTCTTAATCTCTGACAGCACGGCAATAAAACTTTCCTGGTCTATAAATGACATTCAAATCTGCACATAGTTC